ACTTAATAACCAAATTCAGTAAAATAGCTGGATACAAGGTCAACACACAAAAATTAATAGCTTTCCTCTACACGAACAACAGACTCACTGAGAGAGAAATGGGGCAACAATTCCTTTCACAATAGCATCCAAAAAACTGAAATACCTAGGAATCAACCTAACAAAAGAAATAAAAGAAAAAGACTTATTTTGGGTACCAGGGATTGAACTCGGGACCTTGAGCTTTTGAGGCAGGTGACGGAACCACTGAGCTAAATCCCCTGCCAAAAAAATAGACTTTTAAAAAATATCTTGTTCAGGTTTCTGAAATGTGGTGTAGACTCTTTTTAAATTTATCTGTTGAAAAAAGCACTTATCTTATTATTTTCCAACAATGTAGATTTTGTTGATTATTCTTGGGATAGGATTTAAAACATATTCCTCTATCCTCTTTATGTCCTATAAACTGGGACTCAGTCTTAGTTTCATGACCCTGCCCCTTCCCTTTTTTAAAAAAATAAGATCACTTCCAGAGATGGCAGGGTGTCCTTCCTCCAGGTGCATCTATGCACATCTTGGGGTGCCTGCAGGGTTTGAAACAAAATACACAGATCCATGATTCACTAGGTATTGTGACATCATATTACATTTATTCTGTATATAATTTTTTATTTATTTGCTGGAATTCTATAAAGAGAAAGTTTTCTTCCTCTACTATTTGGTTAGCCAGGTATATGCCTGGTCATTCTCTCTTATTTAAACCACAGGTCAGAATTAAAGCTGGCACCATACGTCTCCCATAAGTGGGGGATATGTGCATGCATATATGTGTGTGTGTGTGGTCTTAACAGTCAGTCTTGGGGGGGTGAGGATTAAAACAGAAGAAAGAAAAGACAGAGAGTGCCTTGCTGAACTGGACACCTGGCTGAAACCTGGGTGACTGACTTGGTCAATAAAGCTTACTTTGCTGGCTTGCTCAGAATCCTGAGATCTCAACTGCAGGCCCTGGGTTATGTGGAGCAGAGAGACGTCTCAGCCACCCCCGTCCTCCTTGCCAAACTGTTGGGGTGGAAATGCTTTTACTCGGCCCTCTTAGTTTCCACAAATTAAACCAACAAAAGACAGATTAGCCAGAAAATAAGACAGGTTTAGTCCTCTATCTATCTGTCTGTCTGTCTATCTATCTATCTATCTATCTATCTATCTATAGATATATATAGTAGTTCATATGAAAAAATATGACTGAAAGTGGCTGTTAAACTTCGGGGCTTATATACTATCTTAAAAATATTTTGTGATTTTTCTCTTACTTTCCTTTTTAAGGATCAGAACCAGGGCCTCACACATCCTAGACAACTGCTATTCTACTGGGGTATGTCCCAACCTTGAATTTTTTTCTTTTTCTTTTCTTTTCTTTTCTTTTCTTTCGTTTTTGGTACCGGGGATCGAACTTGGGTCCTTGGTCTTGTGCAGCAGGCATTGAAACCACTGAGCTAAATCCCTGGCCCAACTCTGAATTTTTAATTGATCCATAATAATAGCTATGTATTTATGATGTACAGTGTGACATCTCAGTACTTGCGTACAGCTTGTGCACAAGGCGTAATGATCAAATCAGGGTATTTGCATATCTGCCACCTCAGACTTTTATCATCTTTTTGTGTTGGACACATTCAAAATCCTCTGTACCCGCTATTTTGAAACATACAGTTAATTGTCGTCAACCACATTTACCCCGCTGTGCTGTAGAACATTACCCCTTATTCTTTCTACCCACCTGTGACCCTGTACCTGTTAAGCATCCTCTCTCATCTTCCCTCTCCCATCCTTCTTTTCTACCTTCTACTTTTATGAGATGAGCTTTTTATAGTTCCCACATGTAAGTGGGAATATGCAGTACTTAAATTCCAGGTCTTGCAATTTTGCTTAACACTCTGTGCTCCAGGCTTACCTGTGTACTATTTGAATAGGAGCGGGGTGGGGGAGAAGGGGGATCTCTTAGAGAAAAACAAAAGACTTCTTGGGAAGATAAACCAGCCTTTAGGAAAACAGCTTGGGAGTAGAACACTTGTGACAGCGTTTGTTCAGGTGTGGTGTGGAGACTTCTCCTGTGCTCAGTTAATCTTCCCTCATTGTTCCTGCGGAGGGGATTTAGAGAGGCTCAGTGTTTAGTCAGAAAAGAGATTGCAAGAACTCAAATACCTTCTGCTCAATTATTATTGTTTTTTTTGGTGGTACTGGGGATCGAACTCTGGGCCTTGTGCGCTTTCGAGGCATGCTCTGTGCCACTGAGCTAAATTCCCAGCCCTCTGCACAATAGTTTTTATATGTTATTGGTATATTTTGGGTCCCTTCAGTATCTACATACATATTTTTTCTTTTAAGATATAACACATTATGAGTTGATAATGACATTTAGAATTACTATTTAGAACTACAAAGGGCTTATGTAAATTCTGTTTTATATCTGTATCTTTTTTTGGTATTGGGCTTCGAACTCAGGTCCTTGTGCTTGTGCAGCAGGTGGTGAAACCACTGAGCTAAATCCCTGGCCCTATATCTGTATCTTTTTTTTGGTTTGTTTTTTGGTACCAGGGATCAAACTCGCGACCTTGCGCTTGCGAGGCAGGCAGCGGAACCACTGAGCTAAATCCTATGTCTGTATCTTTATTCAGCTCCTACAGGTTCTTTTTTTGGTACCAGGGATGGAACTCAGGACCTTGAGGTTTTGAGGCAGGCGGTGGAACCACTGAACTAAATCCCGGGCTTCTACAGGTTCTTCAGCAGCCAGTGATAGAATATAGTGTATCAGTCCAATCCCTGCGGCACACAGAATTTCCTGAAAAGAGTTAAAGCACCCATCCCATTCTTACCCTGTTATGGTTTTTGCAACTATACTGTTTCCACACTGTCAGAGCATATTCAGTACCTTTTTCTATTCTTTCTCTCCTTTACCTTATATGCTGCTATTGAGATTTTAAGGTGATAAATATTACAGCCGTAGGCTTTTGTGGTTTTATTCTCTTCAGATGTGCCTATGAAAGAAGAAAAGTAACCAGGTCTATGTTGTTGGAAGAATGATTCTTTAAACAAATGAAAATTAAGAAACCATAGATAGAACACTGTTGAAAATTTAAAAATTTTTATATATTGTATTTTCCTCCAAATGTAACTTTCACATTTTTTTTTCCTTTTGTGACTAATAGAACATTCCAGTATGCCAGTAGAAAAAAATATCACGTTGGAAAGTTCTTCTGTTATCACTCTCACCTGCCAGTACACAACTTCAGGGGATTTGAATTCAGTCAACGTGACTTGGAAAAAGGATGATGAGCTACTTAAGAATTTTTCTCTCACTATAACAGGAAACACTCTGTATACCGAGTACACGTGAGTAGATGAGATTTTAACCTATAGTACTAGCAGAAAATAGTTGAATTCTAAATATTTTTACTGACTGAGCATTCTTTCCTTGTAGCCACTTAAATGTTATGCTAGTATTTTAATTTGCATTGTTTACAGAATTATTTTAAAAGTTTGATTATGGCTAAGTGTTCATTAAGGAGTGTTTTTGAGAACTAAGGCTGTATTAATAACTTGAATTATCTTTAGGATCACCATCATTAACAGCAAACAAATGGGAAGCTATTCTTGTCTCCTTGAAGAAGGAAAGGAACAAAGGGGAACATTTAATATCAAAGGTCAGTATTAATAACTTGCAGAATAATAACTTGAATTATGTTCTTAGATTTTTAAATCCCTTGGTTTAAAAATTACTACTATAATAAACGTAATAAAGGTGAAAAAAATTGTATGATTTCCATGGGATCATATGAGGTGACACTGCACATGATATGCATTCCCCTGTCTCCTCCCGTCCTGCTTAATCTCCCACTTTAAAACGTAGAATTTAATTCAAAAGGTCAGCCTGCCACCTAGTCATAAATTGTATCAGTCTTTTAAATTTATTAATTTAGCCCTCTAAATTCAAAGTGTTTAGAGTCATCCTCCAGATTTCTGAGTTACTGTGTTCCTAGACTCGGAGAGTATGGTTTGGTATTCTAGATCATTGGTTCCAGGACTTGGCATTTTAGGGATTTGTAAAATTTAAGAATAATATGGAAATGCACAAAGACTTATCCACACTTTGTGTCATCAAGTGTGGATATTTAAAATACAGTCACGCATCCTTTAACAGTAGGCATGTGATCTGAGAAATTGCCTCATTAGATGATTTCATATATTTAAATTAATCTGGATAATTTAGCCTACAGAAATATGGCACAGCCTAGTACTTCTAGGCTAGAAACTGGCATGATCTGATACTGTACTCAATACTGTATGTAGATGATTATAACAGTGGTAAATATTTGTCTATCTAAACATAGAAAAGGTACAGTAAATACATGGTGTAAAAGATAAAAAGTTAACTTGTGTTGGGCCTTACCACGAATGGAGTTTGCAGGACTGCAGGTTGCCTGGCCCAGGTGAGCCGGTGAGTGGTTAGTGAATGTGCAAGCTAGGACACTACTGTAAATTTGTAGACACTGTACACTTAGGCCAAGCTAAGGTCATAAAATATTTTTCTTCAACAATAAATCAAGCTTAGTTTACTATATCTTTTACTTTATCACCTTTTACATTTCTTAAACATTTTTTGACTCTTGCCAAAATATTTAGCTTAAAACACGACACTACATAAGTACAAAATGTTTTCTTTTTAAATTTATTCTATTAAGTTTTTTTCTTTTTAGGTACCAGGGATCGAATTCGGGTCCTTGTGCTTTGTGCAGCAGGCAGCGAAACCGCTGAGCTAAATCCCCGGCCCCCCTATTCTATTAAGTTTTTAAAAACATGTTTACAACGTGTTTTTTGTTGTTCTCTGTCTTCTAGATTGCATTGCTCTCTGGAAATACTATGTAACAGTCATGCTTAGTCAAAGCTTAAGTATTAACTATATTACATTTATTTTTATTTATTTAAAAAATTTTATTTTTCATTTTTTTCCTGGTACCGGGAATAAAACTCAAAACCTTGTGCTTGCCAGGCAGGCACTACATTTCTTATTAACACTCACCTTAAATTATATGAAGTGACCATTTTTACCTCTGATGTCAGATTATCAGAAGCATTTTACTTTTCAACATTATAGTCAATTTAATGCCAAGTATTTATAGAGGGCCTCTTGGTACCTCAGCTATTTTTTTTCTTTTTGTATTAAATTATTTTTTTGGTACATTGTAGTTATACAACACAATTACATTTCTCATTGGGAATTGTACCTTTA